CAGAAGCGAACGAAACTATCAGATCTACGACAGGGAGCTACTCGCAATCATTCGAGCATTCAAGGAATGGCGACATTTATTGCAAGGATCACCACACCCGTGAAGTCATCACAGACCATCAAACCTAACGTACTTCCGCTCTGCGCAACGCTAAACCCAAGACAAGCAAGATGGCATCATTACATGAACGAGTTCAACTTCACGCTAAACATCACCCGGAAAAACAATTGCACAAGCCGAGCACTGTCCAGGAGAACAGATCAGAACAGGGGGAGGATGATAACAAGGACATGGTTATGCTACCAGAACAAATTTTCTCGCTCAACTCTGTCCAAATTGACATCTCCCAACAAATCCGAAACAACAAAGCCTGCAACCCAGATCTAGTACAGTTCCTGACAACGAAACAACTGACAAACCATGACCTGCCTGGGGCAAGCCGAGCGATTGGAAGGAAGAAGAAGGACTGTTACTATTCAAAGAACATATCTACGTACCACCCGACGAGAACCTATACCGCAACATTGTCAAAACCTATCACGAACCAGCCGTGATGGGCCATCCTGGGATTCAGAAGACTTTCGAACTAGTCAAAAGAGACTACATATGGGACGGAATGCGTAACTTCATCACCGAATACGTAAAAGGATGCACAAAATGCCAAACCACCAAAGTCAACACCCACCCAACTAAAGCAGGACTATTCCCGATCCCACATAGCAGGAACACAGGCCGTTTAACGTCATAACCACCGACTACATCACAGACCTACCAGAATCAAACGGATACAATGCAGTCCAAGTAGTCGTCGACCATGACGTTACGAAAATGGCCATCTTCACGCCATGCACAAAGAATATCACAGCAGAAGGAGCAGCAAAGCTACTGTGGGACCAAGTCTTCAGCCGATTCGGAATCCCCTCTAAAATCATCTCCGACGAGGCCCCAGTTCGCGCAGGAGCGTTCAGAGAACTACATCGGCTAATGGGAATGGAAACCGCATTGAGCACAGCTTATCACCCGCAAACAGATGGTCAAACAGAACGAGTAAACCAAGAATTGGACCTTGCTCTACGTCTCTACTGCGGCAATAACCCAAACGAATGGGCGGATCACCTCAAGGAATTCGAATACGCGCATAATCAACGACACATTCAGTAACAAAGAAATCGCCATTTGAACTACTCTATAGTTATCAACCACAGCTAGTCAAACTCCCACAAAAGAACCCGAAATACCCAAGCACGGAGGAATGGCTCTCCGCCCTCCGAGCTGACCAAGAAAATACAATTGCTGCCCATAATTGCGCAGCCGCGGCAATGGCACAGAGGTCACCAGGACATTCAAGAAAGGAGATAAGGTCCTTCTAGAGTCAACCAACCTCCGCCTCCCGTACCTGCACCGGAAACTGGCACCCAAACGAGAAGGACCCATTGTTATCACTGAAGTCATGGGACCAGTAACGTTCAAATTAAACCTACCACGCACTTGGAAGATTCATCCAGTCTTCCATGCCGCGCTCCTGACTTCCTATCGAGTCACCAAAGCACATGGCCCCGACATGCCACGTCCACCTCCTGACGTCATAGACGACGAAGAGGAGCATGAAGTGGAAGCTATTCTTAACCACCGAATGAGAGGATGCAAACGAGACAAATTGGAATACCTAGTGACGTGGAAGGGCTGGGAGTCAGCAGAAAACTCATGGGAACCTGAGCACCATTTGAAGAACGCGCCTGACATCCTGAGGATATATAAGAAGAGACACAAGCTCCTCTGACCCTCATCCCGCTCCCGCATCAAATGCGCTTCTCCAGATGCCTCGCCACCACCGCTCTACTCCTTGTCGCGCTCCCCGCCTCTATCCCATCCGCCTCACTACGCCGGACATCCACGACACCCCAGACTTCATCAACAACCGCCCCCAGGTCAACTACGACCACCTTCCAACTCTCTATCGCACTAACGAGAGTCGAGGGACCCTCGGGGACCGCATCGGTTGGACTGTCGCGCACTCTGACCTCCATGGCCATGTCCGCTACCGCACCCAACATATCCCCCACACCGAGCCCCTTGTCAATGAATACCGCATTGCGACTGAGACGTTCGACGTCTGGAAGAAGGTCGACCACTTCGTGCAACGCGCTGGAGCCCCTGCCAGCCAGAAGGCTGTCGCCAAGGAGGCCTCACTGACCCTTAGAGCCCTCCTCGCACGAGCTGCCGACGTCGCCCTCGACCAACTCACCAGTATCGAGGTCGCGGCCGCCCTCGACGACCTGCTCCCCACCAGCCAGCAACACCTGCCCCCGTGGGGAAACATCCCCTCGGATATCGTCGAGTGGGGATCCCCCAGCGAGCCCGCCCTGGAAGAACAAGAGCACAACCAGGCCGCCTGGAACGCACTCACCCCGGTGAACACAGGCACTACGGACGACCTCCCACCCCTTCAACCCATACTCGATCTCCCCGCCGCTGTGACGCGTACCCAAGACACCTCCACCCCGCAGCCTCCACCTTACACGCAAGAAGACAACTCCGACAAGGAGAACGAACCCCCCATCCCCACTACCAACCTCCTCGCGGCCCAGTCCCTCCTCATGGTTCATCGCAACTGGGTCCGCGCGCAGACCGCAAATGCGGAACCCGGGATTCAATTCGGAGTCCTCAACCTTCCCCCCGGCACCCTCTCGAGCTCCTCACGCCTCCCCCTCACCGGACCCGACATGTCCCCGCGCCCGCGCCACCACGACGCCCTGGATGACATCTTCGCTGAGCTCGAGGCGGAGATCATCGACTATCATGATGACAAACTCGTCCTCGTCCACCCCCCTCCTCGCACACCTAGGTGGCGCGTTCAAGCCGGAACCGGTTGGTACGTCATCACGGCTCACGTTGGCGTTGACCACTACCTCAGGGCCTGGCTCGACTCCTGGCCGGAGTTGTTCGCCCCAGCACACCTCTACGAGTACCTGGAGATCGGCTTCCCCCAGGTCCACGTGAAGATCCTCTCACCTACACCTCCTCGTCGCCGAGGCCATCGCACAACACATTGACGCCCCCTGCGACGAAGTGGTCAAGAACCGCATCATCGACACCCAACCGTGGAACGTCTATCACGAGAAATTCGACCAGCCCATCATCACCATCCTCCAGAACTACGAGGGTGCTCACCTCCCCCTCCAGGAGTACGTTGATCGGGTATCAATCCAGATCGCCTCGGACCTCACGGCGGTAGACATCGGACACGCCCCCTCCACGGACGCGACAACGTCGACCAACGCATAGAAGGTCGGGACAACCCTCCCCGAGAGAGGGAGCTGATGTTACGATCACAGACACTAGTACGCTACCCCCATTTATTTCCACCAATAACCCCCTCTCCCCCGATATGCAGACCTCTTAAATACATATGCCGTGCCCTCTGACTCACACATACTCATCGCTACTTGTCGTGTACTTGTCCTGACTCCTCCTACGATACCTAGTCACGCTGCGTCGCTGCGACTAGGACTGTGTCATGCGGACTGGCAATGACTCGTAGATAATATGACTCACCACTCGTGCCCCTGTATATAAGGACAACGCCCCAGAGCGCTCCCTCCCCAGACTTGAATCTCCTCTGTATACTACATCTACCTCAGCTACGCGCAATCTTATCCTCCTGTCGCTCACACTCGCTCGATAGCACGCAAGCACCAGAGCATAGCCACTGTAACCACAAGGCGCCTAGGCTGTATTCCATCCCGAATAAGTCTGGAACGTAACAGTTGGCACCCGGGTTGGAAGACATTAAGGACGGAGGAACCGTGAGCAGCGCAGTCCTTGCATCGCCGGATCCTGATGGTTGTGGTTTGGGCTCGGGTCGCATGGCGTGGACCTGACAGGTGGGTTTGGCCGTGGCGGTTGAAGCAGTAAGTGGCGGCAGGACCTTCGACACAAGAGGCGCAGCCCTCGCGCTGCTGGATCCCGACGGTCGCAACTGGGACTCAATCCATTCCGGTTGCACTTGACGGGTGTCGGTGGGGTTGGCGGCTGCGGTAGAAGGCATCGAGGACGGAGGAGCCACGGGTGGTACAGTCCTGGCATCGCTGGATCCCGATGGGTGTGGTTCAGGCTCGACTCGCCAGGCATGGGTCTGATGTGCATCGACGGCGGGGATAGAGATAGTAGTGGTGGAACACACCGGGCGAGACTTGAAGGGCGAACTGAACAGTTTAAACACTGTTGACTAAGGCTGCATGAAAGTCCGGATCACTTTGCAGGTCAACCTGCAATTATCCAGAGTTGTGAGCCGTGGGTCACGAGTCATGTGGCTCAGGCTCTTTGAGGCTCCGGCTCCGTGCAGGTCCGGATCAGGCTGGCCAAAATCCCAGTCGAACGCGGCTCATCCGCGGGTCGATTCGCAGAGCCGCACACCAAAACGTAGACATAATATGTCATATTGTGGGCATGGGTTGTATGTGGCTACTCTACCTACATACTGATATCATACATGTCATCATCAGAGTCCTCATCAGATGTGGACGGGGTGTAGAGGCCAGGTAGGGAATCTATGTCCGAGTCATGATCAGTAGCGCCAGCATGGCCATACCCATCCTGCCCCACGCCACCCCAGAAAACGCCCACAGGCGCCGTTCTCATGGCCTGGTCAGCATCGAGAATCGGTGGTGATGGTACAGCTATAGCAGCCGCAAACGCGCGAGCCCACCGAGTGGGCTCAAGAACGGGGGGGGGCAGGACAGGGAAAGTAAGGTCGTAAGCGGGATGGACCAGGGTGGGCGTGTGAAAGTGATGTGGGGTAGGAAAACCAGAGTACGTATAATATGTGGACCACAGTGGATTGTATGTAACATTCTGGGGGGTGGGCACAACATCTACGTAGTACTGGAGCGCAGGAGGGGATGGAGCAGAAATCGCCCGGCCATCATGCCACTCTACTGGAACACCTGAAGCGAGCGCATGGCGGGACGGGTTGCTCGAATCAACCTCGACACTGGAGACTACATCACCCCGCAAATCCGTGCACTCCATGTCGGCGAGCGGAGATGAGGGGTGATGGAGGTCGAGCACACGTACGACATCTCGCGCACACCACGAACAAGCGTATGCGCGAGCTCAACATGTGTGACCGCATGGTGAATCTCAGCTGCGTACTCGGCATCAACCTCCACATACAAGGCGGCACGCTCAAGAGCGTCCGCAAACTCAATGTCTGCCTGTGCATAGGGCGTGGCGCGACGGATCCCGGCTGCCACCTCCCCATCCACCTCAGCATACAAGGCCGCACGCTTGAGCGCATCCACGAAGTCGATGGCGGCATCTGTTCCCCAGGGAGAGCTCTCGGCCGAGGGAGGACGAGCATGCATGTCGACGTTGGAGTGCATGGAAGAGATGTCGGAGTAGTGGGGGGAGATGGGATCGGGGGAGAATGGGGCAGAGTCCATGACGTCTCTGTGGGTGGTAGCTCTGGGCGACGCAATGCTCGAGACAGCATCGGCAAAGGACGCCTCAATGGGGAGGCCAGTGGCCGTGGCCGTGGCAAGGAGAGGTGAACCAGGGGAGCTGGTGTTGGGCATGGAGCTGTTGATCGGCAGCGAGAAAGTGTCGGGAGATGCGGAGGCAGATGGCACGGGGAGGACGGGGGTTGCTGACAGAGGAATGTCGATACCAAGAAGGGACGGTGCTGCCAAATCAGATGAGCTTGATGTGGGCTCGTCGCTGCAGGGTTGCGGGGGAATGGCAGAGGGTGAGGCGAGCACAGGCACCATAGTCCCTGGATTCGCGAGGGCACGAACACGTGCAAGGTCTTCCTCCTCGGGGAAGACAACCTGTTTACTTGCATAAGAACGTAGTTGTAGTTATGGACTGACATTCGGATGTACCTGGGGCATGATGTCGAGCAAGAAGAGACTGAGGGCCGTAAGCACCTCAGTGGCTGGCTCATGCGTGTTGAGTGAGCGGGCGTGTCTGATGAAGACCTTGGCGAAATAGTCGAAGGGAATGTGGGCGACATTGTCGTCCTCTTGAACAAAGGCGCGGAAAGCGAGTATGAGCTGCAAGAGCAGCCCGCACTGCTCCTCGGGGAGCTCACAGTTCTCGAGCGGCGGCCCGAGCACCTGGTGAAGCCACTTCTCTGCACGCGCACGCGAGACCGTGGCAAGCGCGAGTGGGGTGCATGGCAGAAAGAGCTGGGCGCGAGACGATTGAGGGAGAGGGAAGGACAGAGGAAATGAAATGAACTCACAGTGAGTGTCTTCGTGACCCCATTCACGAGAACAGCTGCCCACACTGGGGCGGTCTCGTCATCAAACGTGTCGGGGGGAACGGAATACAGTGTGTCTTCTTTGAGGAGGATGTAGATGGATGGCTTGAGGCTGTTGACGGTGTTGTGAACATCGCGTGGGATGGGGGAGTTGGACATGATGGGGAAGGTGTACTTGGAAAGTGGCAGAGAGAGCGTTGTTAGAGAGGGGTGTCTGGGGAGATTGGGAGGTTGGCATCGCTCCTCTTGAATACGTGGCAGGAGGGCGCATTGAGCCACGCGTGTGCAGGTCGTTGGTGTGAGACCACACGGCTCAGCGTCGCATGCCTTCCTAAAATGGTAAGTAGAGTGCTAGCGCGGCGGCGCAAAGAACGTGGTGTGCATGTGTTGATGCATGCGCAGATATGTGCACCGCGCTAGAAAACATTAATCAGAGGGTGTGGGCACGCACCAAATGCATGTTCAGTGGGTGAGACAAGGAGCGGAAGGGAGAGGATGGCTGGCAGTCGGTGGTCGAGCCCCAACACGTAACAGCCGATCTTGACGCCGGAGAAGAAGCACACTGGCTCCAATCTGTTCTCGCGGTTCAGATACGTTCCCAGCACGTTCGTCTTTGTCCACCATCTCTTTCTGGACCTCCACCTCAGGCCTCATGTTTGCCCCACGCAGGAACCCAGGTAAGCGTGAGTTCGGTGGCTTCACCCTGCCAGTGTGGCTGTGACTGAGGCTAACGTCCATATATAGATATACAAACATGAATGCCTCGCCCCCAACACTCATCCCGGCGACATCTCTCTCGTGTCCTTGCTCGTTGCGTGGCGCGATGGCTTATCGGACATCCCGCACCTGTAGGGGTGCTGAAATCGCGGCCCCCCTGGCTCAACCTCAAATTCCGTCAAGGTTACAGGCTGCGCGCTGTTCAGGGGTAGTGGTGCTGTCTGCCTCACTTCAGGTGCGTGGGGCTTAACCTCAAAGTGTGATACGTGCCCTCAACACGTTCTGAGACAGGTCGGCGGCTCTGTTTAACCACTGGGTGCGTGGTTTCCATGGTCAGCCGAGGTTCCATCCCCTCCGACGATGACTGGCTAGGTGAGTCTTCTCTCAGGCGCATGACTCTTGCGGTCGTCTGAGACAGGGTTTGGGGTTCTCTCAGCAAGGCACCAGGTGCAGGGACAGGCCAGGCTGGACGGTCCGAGGGCATCGCAGACCGATAGCGCGAGATGATATAAAGCATACCTCCGAGGTGAGTCTCGTCTCTAGCTACTATCTTCCCTCTCGCTACCTCCCAATGTCTGAATCCACCATTCCCCAGACTCCTATTCTTGCTGCCACCGCTGCCGCCAGTCTTGCAGCCAAGCGTCGCCGCGAGACCGAGTCTCAAGGTAGTGACGCGTCTCGTGACAGCTCCACAGCTCCGTCTGTCCCCGACAGGGAGGCGGCGCAGGCGATTCTCGCCCATTCGGGCTCTCGCGACACGAAGCGTCGCAAGGGCCACAATGACGCGTGAGTTCCTCCTCCTCGGGCTAAGGCTGTATGCAGGTCCAGGTTAATACACAGGTGGACCTGCAGGGATCCGCACATGGTACTACAGATCATGCACCTGTCGGATCCGGGTACATGAGGATCCGGGTCGCCACGGGTCCAGATCAAGCTGCCCGGGAAATGCCGGGTATGTGGGTGGACCTGCGGGTTCGTATACTCATTAGCGCTGGGGGGATTTAACCATGTGTATTGGTAGATTTATTGTGAACATGCACAACATTTCATGTATACAACTGATTCTACATAGTACAGGTGAGGCACGTCCAGAGTCCAGCTTCAGGGTGCGACGCGCGTCATGCATCACCTCCCTGCCCTCTGCGCCTAACTTGTGCATCTCGGCGAGCGTGAGACCAGATGTTGTCCGCGCGAGAGGCCTGGTGTCCGCACGAGTCTCGAGAGGCCGGGCGTCCGTGGGAGAGGCCGGGCATCCATGCGAGAGGTGGGGCACATGCACCCGAGCGAGAGGTGGAGTGTCCGCACGAGAGGCAGGGCCTCCGCGGTGGGGCGTCCAAGCGAGAGGCCAGGCGTTCGCACGAGCTGCATGTCGTCCGCGTGAGCGCGTGTCGTCTGTGAGAGAGGCGCGTCGCCCACGCATCAGGCTGGATGTCCGCGCGAGAGGCCAGGTGTCCACGCGAGAGGCTGGGTGTCCGGACTCTGCGCGAGAGGCTGGGCATCCGCGCGAGAGGCTGAGTGTCCGTGTGAGAGGTGAGCCGCGCGAGAGGTTGGGCGTCCGCGCGAGGTTGGGCGGCGTCCGCGCGAGGTTGGGTGTCCGCGCGAGAGGCCGGGAGGTGCCGGGCATCCGTGGGAGGCGTCCGTGGGAGATGCCGGGCATCCACACGAGAGGCGGGGCACCCGAGCAAGAGGTGGGCTGAGGCGGGGCACCCGAGCGAGAGGAGGGGCATCCGCGCGAGGTTGGGCGTCCGCGCGAGGTTGGGCGTCCGCGCGAGGTTGGGCGTCCGCGCGAGGTTGGGCGTCCGCGCGAGGTTGGGTGTCCGCGCGAGAGGCTCACACGAGAGGCGGAGCACCCGAGCAAGAGGTGGGCTGAGACGGGGCACCCGAGCGAGAGGAGGGGCATCCGCGCGAGGTTGGGCGTCCACGCGAGGTTGGGTGTCCGCGCGAGAGGTGGGGCGTCCGTGTGAGCGTGTGTCGTCCGCACGAGCTGTGTGTCGTCCGCCAACAATTCAAATGGCTAGTAGCTGATGTGCCTGATCACAACACTGCGGTGTGGAAGAAGTAGCAGATGACTCACCTGGACGACACACTGGAGGAGGGAGGGACACACTTTGTGCATGGTCACCGGGAGTCTTGAAGAGAGCTCGTGATCAGTTAGATAACGATCTGTGAGCTTGTTGATGGATGAGGAGTTGATTGCATAGATGGGAGCGGAGGCGGAAGGCCGGTACGAGCTGGGCGAGGTCGCTGGGCAAAGGGTTGATGCCACTGAGAAAGGGCTGACTCGGAGGGAGAGGAGACGTGGGGGTGAGAGGACGAGCAGTGTCGAGTTCTGAGACGCCCGCGGGAGACACCGAAGAAGCTCGGGGGCATTCGCCCCTCCCTACCGAGTCGTGTGAATGCATGGAAGCACGCCGGGCCACACACGCTCTGCAAAGGTGAGCCCACCTCGTCTTCATCCTCATCTTGCTCCCACCCACCGTTCCTGCGCTCGCGATGCTCGCCGCCATCTCCTATCGCACGGCCCTTCAACCACAAGCTTAGCCATGATGGGACGACACGTTGTAGGCACCACAACTGCGTTATCAGTAAGTACAGCCTCCAAGCATGTGGATTTTTTCGCTCACTTGTTTTTCCGTCCGCTGGATGATGCAGGCTCTTATCTCGTGCTCATCCTAGCAAGCTCAAGGCACTGCCACACAGCGCAGGCCCAGGGCGTGCCAGGGCGGATGTTCTGCACGCAGACGGAGATGCGGGCCGACGTCTGTCGGCTTTGACTATTCCTGGGCACACAGGGATGATTTGGACCGTCGAGGTGAGCTTTGGGCACATCTCAACCAGTCAGGAGGCTCATCCGGTCGGAATTTGCAGTGAAACCGTCCTTGCTCAGCACACTGCGGCGAAGATGGATGCCGAATGCCAAGAGACGACGACGGCGACATTTCAGGAGGATATAGAGCAGGCTCTTGGGCGACCTTTTCGACAGTGCATCCCCGTGAGTTGTGTCGCTGTTCCCCCGATCCCTGCCCCTACTAATTATTGCCCAGCCTTCTTGCCGCTATGAGCCTTAACCCCTCAGAAGCATCTGACTCGCGGCCGTCCGGCACCAAACGTCGTGTCGGAGAGCGGAGCCCGTCGCCTGACAACCCCGCCCCACCCGGCAGCTCCCAGCAACCACTCTCGACGGAGACGACAAAGGTCGCACAACCAACGTTGAAACGTGCGAGGCGTGGGACTGGCGGGTGAGTCGCAACCACGTCTATTTAAATTCCATTCTGTTTACGCTGCTATCCAGCCGCACGGCGACTCAGTCGGGCAGTACTTCAGGGGTGAGCGGCCATCCAATCGTTCTCGGGTCCGAAACCGAGTCAGACTCCGGCAGTGGGAACAACTCTGAGCACGAGAAGGACTTTGTCACCAACGAGTCGTCGTCTGGCTCGGATGATGATGGGTCGGACGCGAGCGATGAGAGCGAGACAACGGCGACAAAGAAGAAGAAGAAGAAGAAGAAGACCAACGCAGCGAGGCAGAAGGCCAAGGGGAAGAAGAAGACGAAGAAGGCCACGGCGGCATCCTCCAAGGCCGTGTCGCGAGGTGGTTCGACCTCCGACAACCTCCAGGCCCGCTTCGCAAAGCGTTACGAAGGCCTGACCCCCGAGGAAACACTCGGTAAGCACGATACGTTTGCTAGTATGCATACCTCTTCTAATCCGGATCCATGATGTCGCTTGGACAGAACGTCTCATGCAGGTGTGGGACTCGCCCTATTACGACCATTTCAACATGCCTCCCACGATTGAACGTAACCAGAAGGACGAGGTTGTACATAGGTTTTACTGCAAAGCGTAAGTTTCTCCTGGCTTCTACTACTACGAGTCTGTCAGTGTGTGCTGATCTTGTTTTCGGATACAGCCACCCTCTAAAGTCCGTGTCCCGCGTTGCGTATGAAGAATCGACAGGGAACCTCGGTCGGCACGTGAAGAAATGCAATCCGGCGGCGTTCAACAAGGAGACCGACGTCATCCAGAGGTTCGCGGCTGGTGTGACGTACACACCACATCGCATGCGCTATCTCTGCGCGATGTGGTGTGCACGCCGCAAGCGTCCTTTCACGGTCGTTGAGGACGAAGAGTTCCGCACTATCTGTGCGATGCTCTACGCGCGCGCGAAGGTCCCGACGCGTACGACCGTCTCCAAAGACATTCGCGATATTCACCTCGAGGCGGAGTACCGCTGTGTCGCCTTCCTCAAGGTAGGTTTTCTAAGCTCTCAACCTGGAGCGGGCTTGCAAATGGATGCTGACGACTTGCTAGTCTATCAAGGGCGCTGTTCATGTCTGCTTCGACGGGTGGACCGCACCAAATGTAATCTCCTACTTAGGGATTACGGTGCACTGGCGTGAAGAGCGCGAGATCAAGCATATCACGCTTGACTTCGCGAAGTAA